AAGTGACGGGAGCTCCCTCTGTTACGCAGCACGAGGGATTCGAACCGCCAAACTGCCGACCTTTCTGATTGACAAGCTCAGTGTCTTAGCCACTGAGCCACCGTGTCCCTATATAGATATATAGTTCTTTCTAACATAGATGTTTCTCATGTACTGCATACCTCTTAGTGTTTTTAGCTGAGATGAATTTGGCAGGCATCTTGCCATGCTGGATTTGCTTAAGCACCTTTGAAACATAAAAAGTTGCACTAACCAATGAAAGGACTTTGAGGCTTCCAGTAGAGTTGCATAAATGCAAGTTGGTTCTGTTACATACAACTACTGAAAACTCTGCTTCAAAATGTGATGTGAAAGAAACTTGTATTTGTTGTTCCATCACAGCAAGTCGCATTTTCCAAGCTGAAAACAGAAAGAAACCCATCAAACTGGTATGTAATCCTAACTGGATTTTCAGTTAACATACCTTATTATTATAATGATTGATTTGGCTTAGAAATGGTGATCGGACCAGATCATCCACTGAATTTCAAGTTGAACCTGTTACCTGGGTCTCCTTGACCTAATCTAAGTCACCAACTTCTACACCACACTGGATGTTTATTCCATCCTGATGCTTACAAATAATAATAAAAGGCATTCTCATAACACTACGTCAAGCATACTTTTTGAAAAATGTTTCATGCACTCATAATATTTTTACATTTTTATAGTATTATGGTGGAATCATATTCCATGAAGTGATTTTGAACTGAGCTTCAAGGCATCCTCCCTTCCATGAGTCTTATTTCTACTTCTAAAATTTGCATTCAAGCCTCTCCACTTTCATCAATTCAATTTAATTCAAACCTCTTGGCATTGGATATGGCTAGTCTAGAGAAAAGGAGGACTTGGGGAGACATGGTAGCAGTGTTCCAATATTTAAAGGGCTGCTACAAAGAAGATCAATCTATTTTCCAAAGCACCAGAAGGCAGGACAACAAACACTAGATGGAAATTAATCAAGGAGAGAAGCAACCTAGAACTAACGAGAAACTTCCGAACAGTGAAAATGGCTTGCATTCAGAAGTTGTGGGTAGTCCATCACTAGATGTTTTTAAGAAGAGATTGCACAGCTACTTGTTTGAAATGGTATAGGGCCGTGATGGCAAACAGAGCCCTCTCTGTGGACACACAAGCCATCACTCCAGCTCAGCTCCACTGTGCATATGCATGTGCCTCCCACTGGGCAGCTGGTTTTGGGGTCTCTGTCATGCATGCGCAGGGGTGGGGGAGCACAGGGTTCATGCATACATGAGGGGCCTGTGCAAGAGTTTTTTGTGCACATGTGTGAGGTTGCGTGTGCATGGGTGGGGGGTCATGTGCAAATGCATGGGGGTCTCACACACACATGCACGGGGACAAGGTGTACAGGGGGTTTGCGCATGTACTACATTATGGGTATGTGCGCACATGCTTTCAACACAGCAACGAAAAGGTTAGCCATCGCTGGTATAGTGTCTCCTGCTTGAGTAGAGGATTGGACTAGAAGACCTCCAAAGTCCCTTCCAACTCTGTTATTCTGTAAACTGGCCATGTGATTCTAAGAAAGCTATTGGGAAAAAATGTATCAAAGTTCATTCCTTCTGGAGCATACTGAACAATCAAACAATCAGAATAAAACTGGAAAACCTCCAGTTTTAAACAAAGTTTCCAACAAATACTAGCCCTGGGCTGGATATCTACGAAGTTTGTAGCAGGGATGTTATGCTTTCATGAACTTTAAAGTGCCATCCCAGATTAAGTTCTTAATAAGTAATGTATATTCATATTTGAATATACTGAACATGTGAAAGAATAAGGAGTTCCTGGAAAATATTAATCTAAACCTGCCTAAGTTGCAGATTCCAGCTTGACCTGAATGACTAATAGACAATTAGCATCAGTTTGAAATAGTCAATGTACAGATGATTTCCATTAGAATGAAAAACTGGATCATAATTGGTCTTTGGAGGGAGCTTATGGAACAGAGATGTCACGTGGATCAGATGAACTTTGGTGGATGACACTTGCCTGCAGTTTCTGGATATCTCCTTCAACTATTTAATATACAGAATTAGCAGATAAGTAGGTGGGGAGTATCTATTAAGTGATTCCTATCTTTCAGTTTATCTGTGTTTGTAATTTTAATCATAAAAAGTAATTTGTATTAAAGTATTTCTTATATGAGGAACAATCTATTGAAAAATCAGTTAAATTAACTGCTCGTTCTACTTTCTTATGTGAGCAATGGATGAGCCTTGTCTGATTTCCTTATAAGGACATCATATAAATATTATGAATATCCTTTATATTTCTTCATAAAGACAGAGAGGATCAAGGGATTCATAAACACATAGTAAACTCTTTTCATTAAAATTAGGAGTTTACTGGATTGATTGAAATGCACTTAATATTTCACTGCAGTTTTGATGATGGAAATGCTGAATGGAAATTTTATTGGGACATGATGAAAACCAGAAGCTAGTATTATTAATAAATGATGACATACAAGTCAAAAGTTGTGCTTTAATGAGCATCCCTATAGCTTAGTAAATGATTGATTTATTCTAAAGAAATAAACACTATACGCACTACATACGATGAAAAATTGTCATGTTCCAAAGCCAAGAAGGACATTTGTATCCTAAAACATATACTGTGGGAACTATTAGGAGGAGCTGTCTTCACTCTTTCTCCCACACTAAACTGTGTTGTCTCTTGACAACTTGCTCCTGTGAAATGCACTCCCTCCCTTATGGGAATCCAGGCAACATTCTATCACAAAAATATCATACATCAAAAGCTACATGCTCACACTGCTTAAAACTCTTCAAGTTTAAATGATCATCATAAAGAAATCATGTGCATGTTATGTATTGATCAAACTATTTCTATACGCTTTGATTATTGTTAATCATTTCAATCCATTTTGAATGTAAGAAAAAATTACATTACAATTAATATTTTTACCTTGAAATTGTCCATTACTGAATGGGCATTTAACCCAGACGTTGTGCTCAGTTGCAAACTAAAAAGGGTTTAAAAGAAATTAACATTTAATTTGTGTTATCCAGCCTGAATTTTCTATTGCAATCAACTGAAGCAATATATTGAATGGAGTGAATCTCTGGAGCTCTGGAGAAATTATCCTATCAGGCAGAATGACGATGTTGTTTTTAGGGTTAATAAGACTAAACAAATAACAGAGCAATTATGGCTGCATCCTAAAGAGTAAGCCCACTCAAACCAATCAGATAAACTTTTAAACAAATGTTCCATAGAATTAAAACATGAAACTCTTCCTTGATATTTTAATGCAGGGTAGTGGGAATAATGGACTTGTAACAATAATTTATAATTTGCATCATATTCTAATTTATGATCTATTGCAGTAGTGAAATTCAATTTTTTTTACTACCGGTTCTATGGATGTGGCTTGGTGGGCGTTGCAGGGGAAGGATACTGCAAAATCTCCATTTCCACCCCACTCCAGGGGAAGGATACTGTAAAATCCCCATTCCTTCTCCACTCCTGGGGGAAGGATATTACAAAATCTCCATTCCCACTCACTCTGGGGCCTGGCAGAGGTGGTATTTGCTGGTTCTTTGAACTACTCAAAATTTCCACTACCGGTTCNTTATGCATGCCAGTGCTGTGTGTGAGGTAATTTAAGGGGGTTCTGACAAGTGTCGTTGGCATCTTTATATTCGGTCACATGGGTGGCAAGCCACTCCCATCCAGTCACATGGGTGGCAAACCACTCCCACAAAGGAGGCCACACCCACAGAGTAGGTTCGAACAATTTTTGAAACCCACCACTGAGTTTAACTATGGGTTAAGTGAAGAAATAATTTCCTTCACTTGTCCTATATTGCCGTGTGTTAAGTTTTATTCATGATTCCATTCTGATATTCCAAAAGGCAGACACATTTTCTTCTATAATATGTCAGTATCATGAATAACTGTATGCACCTCTTTTCTTTTTTATTCTGTTTATTCTTTTTTATTCATTTTCTATTCTTTTTCTCAAGTAAAACATCCAATTTCTACAATAAGCTTTTGTCATTAACCATTGGTCACATAGAACTGAATACAGCTTTTTTTTTTTCATAATACTTAGCAAAGACAATTTCCAACATAGCAACAAAATCCCGATCACATTAGGAATTATGCCTATGTATTCTTGTTTTCTTTTTTCCTCATATATAAATTATTTATCAAATTTGCACATTTGCATTTATCAAATTTGCAGCTCCTATTATATCCTATCCCATACATTTTTTTCATAAACTGGTATTCCCTTCCTTTATAGTGCAACAAGTCCAAATCTTATCATTTGCATTTAGAAATCCTTAGAATTTCTGTTCATTTAACTTCTCACAATTAGATGTCTTCAAATACTAGAGGGAATGTGGGGAAGAAAACAGCAAGAGAAAAGGGTGGAAGAAAGGAAGGTGCAGATGTTAGGAAAAGGGAAAAAATAATAATTTTTAAAAACATATTTCTATTATTGGAATTGGAATTCCCATGGAATTATGTTACCCTTGAAATGCCTTCAGTATTGCTTTGCTAGCTGAATTAATTTCATAAAACATTTTCAGCTTCTTTCAAGTACTTACCAAAGTGACAGGCCCCACATCTTCACATACAAATCTTTGATGACATAAACGGACATAACAGTCTCTGTTTTGGACATCTGAAATATTCACTGAAATAGTTTTTCTTGTTCTGTCCACATTATAAGCCATTTTGCTCACTGAAATTTACAACAAAGAAAAAACAGTAAGGGTACTGTTTTATGTTTGTATTTTTGGTAGCCAATAATTATTGTGTGTCCATACAAGACAAGATAATTGAGGAGTTTAAACTTCATTTGGAATATTGGTGTTATTTGTACAGGAAATTTGATTTCAATAAGTATTAAATGTTAGTGTACAATCTTATACAAATTTATCTGGAGTGAATATAAATAAAATTGTAGTACCAAGTGTCAACTCTTAAAGAATCCTAAAAAGAAATGTCTCCGATTGTACATGTCCAATTGGAAGTAAGTCCCTTAGAGGTCAAATTAAGTAAAGTACTAGAAATCATATGCGTTTTCTAATAATTACTTTCTGTGTGTGAAAGAGAGAGAGTGTGAGTGTGAGTGTGAGTGAGTGCCTTCAAGTCAGTGTTACTCCTGGCAATTGCCAGAACAAGTCTCTGCAATTTTTCTTGGCAGAAGTCATTCACCGTTGCCTTTTTCTTCTTAGGGCTGAGAGACACTGGTCCAAAATCAACCAATTGGTGCCATATCTAAGGTGGGACTAGAACTCTCAATTACTGGCTTTCTAGCCTGATGCCTTTAACCACTACACCAAACTGGTTCTCCAATTATTACATACATGTTTTTAATCACATTTATTTTTGACAAGGAAGCTATAAAACTCAGCATCTCTTGTCTCAAGAGATATATGTGGAACTGTCTTTTTTGAACTATGAGGTATTGCTCTGTTTCCCGTCTGATAAAAGAAAACACACATTGGATTTGGAAATCAGCTAAAATTATGGTGAAGAGTACAACAAAGTTCAAATTAAAAAAAAAAAACAGTAGCTAGTCTAGGATTTCCATATTCAAGCTGGCCAGATTGTTCCATTGTTCTCCAGTTACTGATTAGAAGGAAACTTTAACCAGATATCAAGTTTCTGTGCATTTATAAGACACACATATATACAATATGCATAATAATCATTACCTTCAGTTCTTATTTAGAATATAGAATAATAGAGTTGGAAGGAACCTTGGAGGTCTTCTAAGTCCAACTCTATACTATTTCAGACAAATGGTTGTCCAGTCTCTTTTAGAAAAACCACCAGTGATGGAGCACCCACAACATGTGAAGGAAAGTTACTCAATTGGTTGATTGCTTTCACCATTAGGAAATCTCTCCTTAGTTCTAGGTTGCTTCTCTCCTTGATTAGTTTCCAACCATTATTTCTTGTCTTGCCTTTTGATGCTTTGGAAAATAGTTTGACACACATACACCATTTGTGTAGGAGCTCCTCAAATATTAGAACAGTGCTATCATGTCACCCCCTAAACCTTCTTTTCATTAGACATACCCAATTCCTGTAACTGTTCTTCATATATTTTAGCCTCCAGCCCCCTAATCATTTTGTTGCTCTTCTCTGCACTCTTTCCACTCTTTGCATTTAGTTATCACAGGTTCTAATTGACCAACTCACTTCTAAATTAGGACATAAAGCATTTGATTAATGGAATTTGAACACCACCTATTAGTCGAGATATTATCTAAATTAGACAACAATTGGCCTATAACTCTTCTCTTTGAATCATAAAATGGGGAATGTGGATGCTAGAATAGTTAATTGTGGAAACAAGAATCTTTTTAGATGACGGCAGGACTATATGAAAGGTAGAACCTCTGCAAAACAAATTACCTCTGGAATTCATCAATTCAAGGATAATTTCTGCAGGAGAAATGAGATGAGAGGGCTTGTACTAGAAAAATATCTCATTATTTTTAGAGGAATGGTACCCAGCTTTGATACCCAGTTTTTCTCTTTGGAAGCCTAATGGTTTTAGTAAGTTGTGCTGCATTTCAGCCCTCACTGTGTCCAATTTCTGAACCCCTTGATTCAACTCCAGATTGCCAGCTTCAGAAGAAAAAGAAGAATTTAAGAACTGTTTTTAAGCTGATTTTTATAGATAATACCCATGTGTTCTTGTTGATGGAATATTTAGCAGACTACTAAATATGCTACTATTTTAGATCGCAGAGACCTCAACTTACCAAAACAATCTGGAATATTTTTCCCCACATCATTGTTTCTGCAGTCTGCAAAATTAAAAAAAAACATATTATCAACTTGTTTATTTTCATGAGGGATTGTCAGAAATCAGTAGAAAGCCCTTAATAGCATACAGATTACAAAGATTTCATTGATTCAGCTGTGATGATTAAATAAGGGATTTAATTGGAGTGATAACCTGGAGAGGGCTAAATTTTCTCAAATATAGTTAGGTTCTTTCTGCTTCTGGGTCTATGAGTGATTGCTTTGATTTTGGACTTTTGTGAACCTAATGAAGCGGCTTATCTAAGCCATTATAGAAACACAACTTAGGACAGTGATGTCTAAGTTTTTTTGGACCGCGTGCCAAAAGCGGGGGAGCGAAGGGGGTTTGTGCATGGGCGTGCCCACACCCATAATGCTATGCACGTGACCAGAGCTCCCTCCCCCACTGCTTTTGCCATGCTTTTTTTGCCCTCTCCAGGATCCAGATGCTTTCTAGGAGCCGGGGGGGGTGAAAACAGCCTATCCCACCCCTCCTGAAGCCTCCAGAGGGTGAAAAACTTTCCAACGTGCAAAACGCAAGTTCAGAAATGGATTTCCGGTTTGTACATTGGGCTGTTTTTCACACTGCGAAGGCTTCAGGGAAAGCCTCCTGAAGCCTCCAGAGGGAGAAAAATGGCCCAATGTGCAACCTGGAAGTTGGAAAATGGGCCATTTCCAGCCTCCAGGGAGCCTCCGGGGGCGGGAAAGGCCTTTTTCACCCTCTTCAGGCTCCTAAAAAGAGTCTGGAGCCTGGGGAGGGCGAAAAACGGATCCACCATGCCATTACGTGCCAAAAGTGGGGGGACCACAGGGGGGGAGTGCAGGGGGGGCGTTCGCATGCACAGAGGGTGGGTGCATAGAATTATGGGTATGGGCACGCACATGCACAACCCCCCCTGCCTACCCCCACTTTAGGCATGCGATGGCAGAAAGGTTAGCCATCACTGGTCTAAAACAAGAGTTCCCCAACCTTTTCGGCTTTGTGGACAAGTGGAGGTCAGGGGGAGAGGAGATGGTTCTACATGTGTGGCACAGGGGTGGGTTCCTGCCAGTTCTAACCTCTTCTATGGAAGAGGTTCCACAAATCTACAGTGCCATTTAGAACCGGTTCCAGCTCCCTGCCCCNAAAAAATGCAAGTAGAAAAATAGGAACCACCTTTGGTGGGAAGGTAACAGTGGTCCGTGCATCTTCAGCATTTTGTCATGTCGGCCACATGACCAGGGAGACGTCTTTGGACAATGCTGGCTCTTTGGCTTTGAAACGGAGATGAGCACCGCCCTCTAGAGTCAGGAATGACTAGCACATATGTGCGAGGGGAACCTTTACCTTTACTTAGGTTGTGAGTTTTCAATTGGCCCAACCCTATCATACTCCAGCCAGGATTTTAACATTTTATTTTAGGATCGCATTTGATTTTTATGCAACAGAAAGAACTTCAATCTAATTGAAGTTATGAGTATATTTGAAAGGCATGCTATGGCTATGTTCTATGAAATAACCCTACCCAGTTAGTCCAATATAGTCCCCAGGCTGCCAGCAGAATCTGGTGAAAAATATTTGTAAAAAAAAAAACAGGTGGAGTTTTGATCGCACCATCATGACTGCCATCCTGACTTTTTACACATTATGTAGACTTGTCCAATATTTCCCTTTTTTCTATTCAGAACATCTGCTTCAGATTAAATTTACTCTTGCCTTCTCCCAAAATAAATTAATTTTTAGGTTAAAGCTCAGTGACCTGAATGTGAAAACAGCAGCTTGCCTGCTTGTCTAAGAAAGAAACTGTTCATTAAACTAGCCTCTAACCAGTGGTGGGATTCATTTTTTTTACTACCAGTTCTGTGGGTGTGGCTTGATGGGTGTGGCATGGCTTGTTGGGCGTGGCATGGTGGGCGTGGCAGGGGAAGGATACTGTAAAATCTCCATTTCCACCACACTCCAGGGGAAGGTTACCGTAAAATCCCCATTTCCTCCCGATCAGCCGGGACTCAGGAGACAGAGAATACATGGTGGCGGGACTAGTCAGAGGTGGTATTTATCAGTTCTCTGAACTACTCAAAATTTCCGCTACCGGTTCTCCAGAACTGGTCAGAACCCGTGGTGGGTTTCCATTTTTTTACTACCAGTTGGCTTGTGCGCAGAAACATCCAGGTGGGGCGGAGCTTCCCCCCGCTGCCACTACCAGTTCGCCCGATCCGGGCCGAACTGGGAGCAACCCACCTCTGGTCAGAATCTGCTGAATACCACCTCTGTCTCTAACCTTGCATGTCCTGGGGATTTATATGGTTTTCATGTCATCTGGTTTTTTAAATATTTGACTCGTTATCACTGGTTTGCAGAAAAGGAAATTCAACATTTGTTTTCTAGAAACAAAAATGTCAGCCACCGTAGATTAGATGATACAATACACATCAGGTAAAATTCTGCTTCTGGTAAATAAGCCACATAAATGAAAGGGAAATGGTGCCACGTGTATTGTTTAGGCCGCAACAGTGGTTTAACATATTATGCAAATGCACTCTCGAATAAAAGCATTAGAGAAATATTTGAAATTCAAACAAAATAACCAGAGGGAGAAAAAAAATCAGAAAATAATAATTAATTCAAGAACAAACTGTGCTATGATTTTGAAAATTCTGGCAAACAAAAGTATTTCCAATGGAATTGACAAAACATTCCAAAGTTGGCTTTTTTTTTTTCTCAAGCCAACAATTTGTTTGGAAATAATAGTCTCCACATTCCATCTCAATTAACAATCTCAGTAACAGTATTGCAACTTTAAATATTGAATTATTATCACCTATATTAAACCATAGACGAGCAACAGGCTTCAACAAGGTATTATCCAGCATATGACTGTATTGTTAGAAGTTTATGAATCAGAGAACGAAGGAAAAAGTGAAGCTCAACAAAAGAGAGGCCGTATCTTTTTGGGAAAACCACCCTTAGTTTCTACTATCATGTAATGTTTGGTCTTTCATATTTTTTCATTCAACTTAATCCTAATATAGTCCCTTTTTCAGTTCCCATCAATTTCCTTCAGCATTGCTGAATGATAAATACTGAAGTTATTGTTCCTTGGATGATATCCAATTGAGGAAGAAGGGCAACAGAATGAGTTAATTTATTGGCTCACCAAAGATAGCTCATTTTCTAATTTATGTCTTTACTTATTTTCTCTTTAACTAATGAAAATATGTAATATTGTAATGCAGGATAGAGCAGGTGGTTATATCTCAATTTATCATTTATGCAGTCCATTAGCCAAAACAAGATGGACAGAATACAGATTTGACAGATGAATGAATCCATTTTTGTATACAACTATAGCAGATGTATGGATTATGTTTTCACATAAAGATTTGCAACCAGACCTAACAATGTTTAAATAACACCACAATAGAGCATTATTTGAGTTAGTTGTGGAATTAGATATTCCATTAATTAAATCTTAATTCAAATCCTAAATATCTAAGAAGACAAGTTGTTTGATTACTGGATTTAAATCATATGTCAGGCAGAGGTTGCGAGGTTCATACAACTTCACTTCCCACACACTTATAATAGAATCACTGCTTCTGGTATGAGATGATTCGTCTAGCAAAAATAGTTGTCATAAGAAAGAATGCTGGATAGACAAAGTTTTGGAAAATGTAGCTGCAAAAAGCTAAAGAACCAAAGAGCGATATAAATCATGTCACCATTGAAGTGAATAGCATGGTTCATCAAAATATCTGCAGTAAAGGCATAAAGAGGAAATAACTTTTATTAGCCTCCCTTTATGCTTCCTGTCAGAAGACATCTGGAATACAAAGTACAATCTCTGTCTGGCATTTGTTCATGGAGAGGCATCTGAAAAAACAAGTTCTATGAAAATGGTTAGAGGTGTTGGGTATGCAAATCCCAGGGAACAGAGGATTAAAAGAAATATGCTGTTGACTCTTAGGGTTAAGGTTAGGGTTAGGGTTATATGGGATGGAGCATACTGCTTCTGCTTTCACCTTTCAGCCCCAATCCAGGAGCCTTCGTAGTCACTTTTGCAACATTTGCAAAACAACAACTTTGTTGTTGTTTATTTTATTATTTCTTTGTTGTTGTTTATTTTATTATTTCTTTGTTGTTGTTTATTTTATTATTTCTTTATTGGCAAACATGAATTTAACTCAAAGCTAAAAACTGAAAATAATGGATAGAAATTGAAAGGAGCAGCACTTTAATGGTAAGAGACAAGTTCATCTCCTTCACTGCAGATACTTAGAATAGAATGGTGAAAAACCACAATCTTGTTACTTTACTAGAGATTGTACAGATTCTTGCCACCTCTCGGGGAAGAGTGGAAGTTGTGATAGTTCTTTTCAAGAATGTAGACTCCAGAATGTTTTTCCACATAGTTTGTTTGGCAGTGACTATTATGTCCTTTACTGATTCAAATCTAAGGCATTTGGGTGACCCAAAGCATCATTTTTTGGCAGCTGCAGCACACAGCTGGCTTATATTTGACCCAGTATTTCAATTCTTCAATCAGATGTATGTGAGCTGGTGGCATAAACATATCCAGAGATAGGGGTATGGAAGTCAGTCGCAGCAGTGACATACCTTCAGATAGTTGCTAAACTGGGCAGTCACTAACAAAAGACTATTTTAAGTTTATCACAGGCAAATAGTGCATGGTAGTTAAGTTTCTGAATCTAAACTATATTTAGTTTAGACTAAATAATTTGGTGTTTAAACTATATTTAAACTATAAACCTCTGTAATGAGAAAGACGAGACAGTCGACCACTTGATCAGTGAGTGCAGCAAAATTTCACAGACTGACTACCTACAATTCCATGACCACGTTGCTAAGATTATTGACTGGAAATTGTGCCAAAAGTTTGGATTTGAGTACAGCAAAAACCACTGGGAAAATGAGGTTCAGAAGGTTTTAGAGAATGAGAAAGTCAAGATCTTGTGGGACGTCAGAATTCAAACTGACAGGCACTTGGCCCACAACACACTTGATGTAACAATAGTTGAAAAAAGTATGGTTCATTGACATTGCAATACCTGGAGATGCGCGAATTGAAGATAAACAGCAAGAAAAGATCACAAAGTACCAGGACTTGCAAATTGAAGTTGAGCAACTGTGGAAAAAGAAATCGTCTGTTGTCCCAATTGTAATTGGAGCCCTTGGAGCAATACCTAAAGGGCTACCTNTATGAAGCGGTATATAAGTCTAATAAATAAATAAATTGAAGAAAATTTCAACAGATGTCTATAAGTTCATCCCTCATTATACTAATAAGGCAGGAAACACATTCACTAGACAAACAATGCACTATAGACATATACTTCAGTCACATCTTCTAAAAAACAATAGTAAAGATTTCCCAATTCTGACTCAAGGGGGCTAGTTGTACAATCCATCAGTACATATGGTACTTTAACACAAAGGAGGATTTTGGATCAACCAAGAGTCTTCCCTTAGAGGAAGGAACGATATGTTCATTTGCCATATCATCTTAGGTTATCAATTTAGGTTCTGACCAAATATGGCAGTACTGAGGAAGATGACTAGTGTAAGCATCACCCACAGGGCTAAATGGTTGCCAGACAGAAAACCTACTGCCCGTGCAATACAAGTGTTTATGTTACTTCAAATCATTCTCGACTCTTGGCAACTGCCTGGACAAGTCCTTGCAGTTTTATTGGTTACATTGTCAGAAGCAGTTTATCGTTACCTCTCTCTTCTAAGAGAGTGAGAGACTAACCTAAAATTATCCAGATGGCTTCATTCCTTTGTGAGGACTAGAACAAATGACCTCTTAGTTTCTAGCCTGGTGCCTTTAATCATTGCATCAATCTAACTCTTAACTGTTTAATTAATGTACTCTTAAGTTATACAATTGACTTGGGAATAAAAGACCCATTTGGTTAAATACTTTCCCTCCCTCATCACCCCACAAAATGAAAAACCAGAGGACCAAATTAGGGTTATGCTACCATTCTATGCATAGAAAGCATAGTCCAAAAATAATTTCAAAATATCACTGAATTGTACGGTGTTGTTGTTTATTTTTTAGTCAATGAAGTTATTCTAGACCAAGAATCAGCAACCCACAGCTCTGGAGCTGCATGTGGCTCTTTCATCCTTCCACTGTGGCTCCCTATCACTCAAAATATGCATCACAACTGCCAATGTGCAACTCTCCCTGGCATGCGATTTATTGAGCTTTTCTGCCCCCGGTAGGCCAACCATGGATAAATCCAAGAAAAGAAAAGAAAAGAAAAGAAAACAGGAGAAAACAGAATGTTTAATTCAACTACATATGCTAGTTTTGTAGCCACTCAGGAAATAGTTAGGCACCAGAAGGATTTTGTGACTCCCAATGTTTTCTTTTCTGTGGGAAATGGGTTCAAATGGCTCTTTGAGTGTTTAAGGTTGCCGACCCCTGTTCTAGACATCAAAGCATATTCTCACAGTTTAATAAACCATTCTTCCATAGCGGAAAAGAAGGATCTTCCCCCCCCCCAAAAAAAAAAAAGCAGATAAAATTTTTGCAGCTATTATCTTAAACAATACCAGGTCACTATAATTTGAAGGAGTGTTTGCTTTAGTAAAGTTTAATAGAAATATCACAAGTTGAAATGAAATTTCAGTTTTCATTCCATTCTGCAAATAATTAATTTCCAACACTGTTGAGTTTTGCTACATTAACATTGGATTTGGAAGAAAGATCCAATCTCTGTTCATTTCCAGCATTTGCGGGGGGGGGACACTACTAGTTTTACCCATCATTTAGCCTTATTAGCTGTAAAATATCTTGCATCAATTCTCTATGACGTATAAAATGAATTTAATATTCTTTTACCATTGAAATTGCCATTGCTCAATCTCTATAACAATAGAAATGCTATTCAGATCTTGCACCTGATTAATTATATGTCCAAAATAAAACTAAGGACAGTGATGGTGAATGTTTTGGACTTGGTGGGTTCAGGAAATGTCTAACTTGACACTCCTGCTATTCTCTCTCATTCTATCTCTGTCTCTCTGTCTCTATCTCTCTCTATCTCTCTCTCTCTCTCTTCCTCCTCTCCCTCTATCTCAGAAAACAGAAATAATTCTCTCCCCCTACCCCCAATCTTGGTCACCCTGAACAGTGGCACTTATCAGCAGTACTGAGGTTGGATCTGAAGCAGAGGCCATCACAGTCACTCAAAATGGTTTCCTTGCATCATTTCCCAAGATGCGCATCAATAGGCAGCATTCCCTTTCTGTTGACAAGCACCTATGGCCTACATGAGGCTGCTCCAGATTGCACAAGGTCTTTGTTTTTTAAGTAGCCTTGGAGAATGCTGTGAACACTGCATGAAAACGGGCCCTAGCCTTGCACAATTTTCACAGACTCGGGAGGCTACACAAGAACATGACCTTCTCACATGACTCCCACAGGGCCCAGTGTCAACACAAGAGCATACACCATCCTCATGCAGCCTCTGCAGCTTCCAAAGTCTCTGAAAAATGGAACATGCTTTCAAGAATGTTTGTCAGGAGTTGGGGAGCAGTGGTGTGTCACCCAAAATTTCACCTTTTACATGTGTGTCATAAGTCCACCATCACTGCACAAACAAGGAGATGATTTGTGACCAATACAGCCCTGACCCCATTCCACCTTACTTCCCCACTAATTCCTCTCAACCGATTTTCAGGTGACAGGCATTGGCCGAAGTCGGCTGCCCTGAGGATCATTTCGTGAGAGAAGGGGGCTGCCCAATAAATTAGTAGGACCCCTTTCCATTTCGTAGGTCAGTACTCTGTTGATTTTATCAATAACTGATAAAATCTTTCAGTCCACCCAATCCCAACCCCAGTCCCAACTCATAGTAGAAAGAATGATAGGTGCATATTTTTCTCATCAGTAGGCAATGCCCATTAAAGAGAAAATGAAACCAGAGAATCCACCAATCCCTTTCCTTAATATCAAATATGTGTAGACAGTACCACTGGGTGGCCTCATCACTGAGACAGAAAATGACTTAGAAATTGAAATAAAGAAGCTTGTGCCAGTATTTTTCTGCTGACTCAAGGACTGTAGGAATGCAAGTTCAAGTGGCCATGAGCAGAGAGATAATAAACTTCTGAAAATAAGAGTAAAGGATACAATAAAAGCAGAAATACAACAACTTACTCTAATAAAAACACAGAGAGCCCATGTTGTAAACAATCTTTTACAAGATTTCATCATTTATATAATCCTTTTATATAGGTACCTTTATTCAGTTGATTCCACTTTCATTGTTCTGATGTTTTAATGCTTTTAGTGGCTTTTAATTATTGTACGCCGCCTGGAATCACCTCTAGTAGATGATAGATAGATAGATAGATAGATAGATAGNCCAGAGTTTCTGAGCCAACATTTTGGTTGCTAAGCAAGAGCGTTGTTAAGGGAGTTTCGCCATATTTTACAAGTTGGCCACACCCACTCAGTCACATGACTGTCAAGCCACTCCCACCTGATCACATGGCCAGCAAGCCACTCCCACAAAGCAGGCCACACCTACAGAAGAGGTTCTAAAAAATTTGAAAACCACCACTGGTGTGGCAGGCAAACACATGTGCAACTCCATTTGATTGTGGAGATGCTGCAACATTTGTGAGCATGAAGGATCAGTTGTCAGTTACTTTTTTCAGTGTTGTTATACTTCAAACAATTGGTAAATGGTTGTAAATCACCTGAACTGATATTTGTGTCAGCATCATCTTCATTTTAGTATTTGCATTAGCATAAACATGAAAGTGCACACAGCTGCATGCACACGAGATCAACATTTTTTAATGTTTCCTACCTTCAACGTAATATTCTTGAGTCAGCTTAACTCCACAATAATTTGGAATTGTCGTCATGGTTACGTAGAGATGTTGTCCCACACTGACTTCAAAGCAATTAAATTGTATTTTGACCTGTTTGCATGGAAAGAATCTTCAGTTGAGACACTACTTCACAAAATGAGACATGCGGAAACAAGCATTCCGCTAAGATTATTTTTCAAATACATTAATGTTATGTGTCATTTTTATTTTATTCTCTTACCCTGAATAATTCTGGAAGATAGAACTATAGAGAAATGTCCTGATAGTGAGAACAATTAATCAGAGGAATGGCTTACCTCCAGAAGTTGTGGGTGCTCCAACACTAGAAATTTTAAAGAAGAGATTGGACAACCATTTGTCTGAAATGGTATAGGTAGTTCCTGCCAGAGCAAAGGGGTTGGACTAAAAGAGTTCTAAGGACCCTTTCAACTCTATTATTCTGTATTTATTAATTTTCACTTAATTATGTTCTCAGTTTCCAAAGACTATCCTGTTTAAGAGCCGAGGTGGCACAGTGGTTAGGGTGCAGTACTGCAGGCCACTTCAGCTGACTGTTATCTGCAGTTCAGCGGTTCTAATCTCACCGGCTCAAGGTTGACTCAGCCTTCTATCCTTCCGAGGTGGGTGAAATGAGGACCCAGACTGTGGGGGCAATATGCTGACTCTGTAAACTGCTTAGAGCGGCTGAAAGCCCTATGAAGCGGTATATAAGTCTAACTGCTATTGCTATTGCTATTTCAAGAAATGCAGTGATAAAATTCCAAATTTGACTCCTCACTCAGAGTTTTGAGAGTTGGGATCTACTTGAAATTGAGTTCTGCCCTACTGTTAGAACTTGCAAATCCACTGAAGAGCCAGGAAGCAACTCTGACCCCTTCATTAAAGCAAACTCTTGAGCAAGAACCCTGATTGTATTTTATATTAAACTCAGAGATTTGGATTATGATAAAATAGTAGTATTTCTAATACAGAAAATTTTATTATTGTTAAAATCAGAAATATTGACATGTGGAGGCATATCCTTTTTTTCATTCTGTTTTATTCAAAATAAAGTTAAAATACAATTTTTTAAAAAAAACAACCTGAAAAAAACTATAAATAAAAGCAAACAAAAAAGGCATATCCTTATAACTTCTATAACTTAAGATGGGACTCTCCTCTACAACCCACAAACACACTATAATAAATAGAGGAGGATTTAATTCAAAGTAAAACATCTAAAAGATTTTCTTGGATTGCAACATTGGCTCTGATTTAGCTTTCTTTGCAGGAAGCTGGACAAAAGTAAATACTGTTGGCCTTGGAACTTGGGTTGTATTTCTTGTTTCCCCCATGCATCAAATGCTGCATCCAGTCAATTCAACTGGGCCCAGATGAGCATATGAATATAGATGCACCACTGAAGAAATGACACTTGGCTACAAAGTAAAGTAGTGAGTACACAGCTTGTATAACAGTTTAAATGTGCCGTCCCCTCAAAATAACACAACACATAGCCATTAATGTCTAAACTGCTGGCAAGAAATCCTTAAATATTTACAAAATGGGAGGGGGTGTACTCACTTCTGTGATATACTGTATATACCAATAGTATCTACCTTGTTTGAGGAAATGTTCAAACCTTTATCCATGAATCAATATCAAACTCAAAGTATTTTTATAAGGTATAAGCTTTTCTGGAAAATCCCTAGATGTCCTTTCTGGAGTAATATTTCCTAACCATTATATACATATTCACTGTGGGGTTTTTTTTTTTCAAAAAGAAGAAGTCTGTAAAAATATATTGCCAAATCTAGATTTCAGGAATTGGCAGATTAGTTGGAAGTACTTCCCTTTTGAAGTAAGAGAGAGTTACACAATATTCTCTGTGAAAATGTGAAGTGAGCATGGGGGATATAATTAAGTTTATGGAGAATAATTGTTCGATTTGTGTTTTCAGGGATATTCTTTTAAATAAATCTATATGGAAGCAATGGCATGCAATATTCTTAACCCACACATAGTCAACATACAAATTTTCATAGCTCAAGGCAGACATAAACCTAATGCTCTCTGACAGTAATCAGTTAGTGAATGTGGAAACAATTTGAACCAATTCTTGTGCCTTTTGCACTAGTGTTTTGGGGATTCTGTTTTAAATAGTTTAAATATCTTCATTCTCACTTTGGCCCGGCAACCATTTGGCTGGTATAATAGTGTGGAAAATAAATTAAAATGCCAGAACTGTGTAGAATGAATATATAACTTCTAATCCCAAAATAACTTCCAAAGCCAACATTGGAGATTGGAAGCTATGATGATGGCAAAATAATGTTATACAAGTGTCATGATCCCATTGTACAATGATATATGAGTCACTGGCATAGTGGCAATGGTAACTAGGAGGGGTTGTGCTATTGTGATTCATTTGTACCCTTTACTGAATGGCAAGGCTCTACCCCCAGACCAGTGGAGGGTTTCAAAAAATTTTGGAACCTCTTCTGTAGGTGTGGCCTGCTTTCCAGTCCATTGATGGAACCTCTTGTAACCAGTTTGGTAGATTTGACGAACCGGTTCTACCGAATAGGTGCGAACTGGTAGGAACCCACCTCTGCCCCAGACACCAGAGGTGGTATTCAGCAGGTTCTGACCAGTTCTGGATAACCAGTAGTGGAAATTTTGAATAGTTCAGAGAACCAGTAAATACCACCTCTGACTAGCCCCACCCCTATCTGTTCTCTGCCTCCTGAGTCCCAACAGATTGGGAGGAAATGGGGATTTTGCAGTAACCTTTCCCTGCTATGCCCACCAAGCCATACCCACCAAGCCACACCCATAGAAGCAGTAGTAAAAAAAAATTGACTCCCACCACTGCCAGACACCCGTGCTCTGGTTACTTCCAGAGTAGATTACTGTAATGCTCTTTCCATGGGGTTCCCTTCAAAAGTATCTGGGAGTTTCAATTGATGCAGAATACAGCTGTGTGGATACTTGTATTGTACCTTTGTTCTGTGAGCTGAGCTGGCTGATCATTGCTTCTGAATGTGATTCAAGAAGCTGATTTTCACATTTAAAGTCCTACATGGCATAGGGCCAGGCTATTTAAGGAACCACCCATTTCCCAATCATATCTGCCCATCTCATCAGGTCCAACATGAGGGTTGTGTTGAGGGTCCCATCCACTTTCATCCAATGGGATCCAGGTGACATGTTTCTCCTGCTTTCTAGAACATCATCCCCTCCCCACCCGCCGAAGGTGAGGTTAGCCCATCACTGTTAATCTTTCAGAAAATTCCCCAAATCTAACTTTTCCAGCAGCCTTGAACATCCCATGGAAAGCCTGCATAATTATTATATTGTGCTTAGGTGCATGTTCTCCAGCAAACTTGCTTTTATTTATATTTTCAGCTTTTTAAAATAGATATAACATTAGTTTAAGTGTTGGTTGTATGCTACCCAAAATCACATTCAGTAAAATGAGCTGCCATATCAATTTATTAAATAAATAAGGACATTGTCAGGGTTCCAAGTAAAAACTCTATACAAAGCAGAACTCCAAGGCAGGCAAGTTCCTCAAACAACAATTTTATTGGAGATATCATATTAAATATATGATCAAATGTAAGGGAAGATCCACAAGCCTTCCTATTTCTAATGGTCTGTAGGAATGACCTTGGAAGATAGAAGGAAGAGTCACAGCCTAGACCCATGATAGCAAACCTATGGCACATGTGCCACAGGTGGCATGCGGAGCCCTCTCTGCAGGCACACAAGCCATCACATCAGCTCAGCTCTACTGCGCATGAGCATGCGTCTCCTACCAGCCAGCTTATTTTTGAGTCTCTGCTGTGCATGTGTGGGGCACATGCAGGAGATGTATAAACATGCATGGGGAGGGTTGTGTGTGAATGGGTGGGGGAGCACGGAGGGGAGTGGTAGGCCCCATGGGCCCTATTTTTTGTCCCAGGAGGCTTCAGGGAGGCTTACTAGCCCCAAAATGGGGCGCGGGGAGTCATGTGCGCATAAACGGGGGGGCTGGGGATGCACAGGGAGAGTATATGCATATGCGCAGGGGGGCAGGGCACACAGATTGCATTATGGGTGTGGGCACACATGTGCAATGTTGTGTGGGCACGCTTTCAGCACACAACGAGCAAAAGGTTACCCATCGCTGGCCTAGATAAGTCAAGTAAGAGAAATCTGAGTCTAAAGGAGGTGTGGGGTTAGACAAAGCATATCAGAAGGCACTCTCTTTAGTCTTTGGGAGATTAAAAATAAAAGGTACTTATAGACCTGCAAGATTCTTTTAGTGTAACCTTCAAATAAGGATAGTTTGAGTACTCCTGGTTGATATATTTTGCTTGAAAGGCTGACTCTATCCAACTCTGTTCTATAAATAACTTCATACCACTATAAAATGAGAAAATGGGAACCTCAAATTTACCTCTGAACATATAATTTTGCCCTGTCAGCTTAAAAGGAAAAAAAAGCACTTCTTACCTTGAAAGACACCATATCACCTTCTTCCTAGACTACTTAAATTTAGCTCCAATAAAATGGTAGAAATAACTGAAATCTTTTACCTTATTTCCCTCAGGGTGGGCATTTAGCTCCCTGGAAATCTTCACCTTCACACACTTGGTTTTTTGAGTAACCATCAGGAAATAACAAATTCGAACACCAGAAGTATTTTCTGAAAATAACGTAGAAATAAATGCAAATTCAGAATTCAAAGAAACAAACTTTGAGGGGAAAGAATTATTACTCACTTCCAAAAGAATATTATAAAAGAGGGGGGGAACCTTTATGACTGAACCAGTGGTGGGTTGCCAATTATTTTACTACTGGTTTGGGCATGCTCACGTGCACACGCGCAGAAGCGTCCAGGTGGGTGGGCGGAGCCTCCCGATCCGGGCCAAACCGGGAGCAACCCACCTCTGGAATGAACCATAGAAATAAAAAGCCCTCTGAATCAAATAGCATCATTGTTAGAAAGCATAGGCTAATCAAAGATGAGCACCTCACTTTTAAAAGTTGAAATGCTCCTCAAAGTTCTACCAAATAAAATGTAGAAGAAAACAGTGATAGGTCCATTTTTTTAATTCTACTTTCATGGAGCTAAAGTGCATTACTAGCCAACCTCTATAAATGCCAATCCAGTTTGACCAAATCCATTAAGGTTAACATTGATTAGACAGATGACTCTCCTACTTTTGTATCTCCTTTATCTCCACTAAAATTTCTGCTAGAGAAAGTATTTTCATAGATTCCTCTATGGAATCATGTTATCGTCATGCAACTGGGAATATTGATTTACAGTAGTTTGTTTGCCGCATAAAAGCAGCTCCTGTTGTTTTCTTTGATACAGCTATCTTTCTTGATTTCTTTCCAGTTGCATTCATTTAATTTTAGTTTGTAGTTTCTTAATGACACTTGGAGACATCATAAAAACCCAAGGAATATTCTGCCATTGTACTGAGCTGAAACCCACACTGTTGAACTTCACATAGTTTTAAATTACCTTAGTACTGTGTTTCTCTGAAAATAAGACCAGATCTTATATTATTTTTTGTTCCAAAATATGCATTAGTGCTTATTTTTGGTTAGGTTTTATTTTCAGGGAAACACAATACTAAATGCATCCATCTGCATGATGATCTTAACTGGGGCTTATTTTTGGGTACGGCTTATATTATGAGCATCCCGACAAAACATGCTAGGGCTTATTTCCCAGTTGGGTCTTATTTTCAGGCAAACAAGGTATATACTAATATGACCACAAGATGGNACCGTGGTACCATCCCCATGGTCACGTGATCCAAGTTTGAATGCTTGACAACCGGCTCATATTTATTTATGATTACAGTGCCGCTGTGGTCATGTGACCACCTTTTGCAACCTTCTGACAAGCAAAGTCAATGGGGAAGCCAGATTCACTTAACAATTGTGGCAAGAAAAGTTGTAAAATGGGACAAAACTCACTTAACAACTGTCTTGCTTAGAAACAGAAATTTTCAACTGTGGTTGCAAGGTGAGGACTGCCTGTACTTTGCTTCCCACCTGCTGTGGATTACAAAGTCTTCTCTCTTCCAGTCCATCCATCCATCCTTCGTTCGCCTCCTCTCCTCCCCACCCACCCATCCATCCATCCATCCTTCCATCCATCCATCTTTCTCTCCTCTCCTCCCATCCATTCATCCATGCACCCATACTTCTTTCTCCTCTTCCCTCCTCCCCACCCACCCAACCATCCTTCCTTCCATCCATCCATCTTTCTCCTCTCCTCAACTCTCCTCCTGTCCATCCATCCATCCACCCACCCACCCACCAACACATCCATCCCTTTTTCTCCTCTCCTCTTCCCCATCCATCCATCCACCCATCTTTCTCTTCTCCTCCCATCCATTCACCTATCCTTCTTTCTCCTCTCCTCCCCATGCATCCATTCACCCACCTTTCTCCTCCCCTCCCTCCCATCCATCTTTCCTTTCTCCCCTTCCCTCCCCTCCAATTAAGGAACAGCTCAGCATCATGTGGAAGGACACTTCTACACTTTTTTCTCCAGGTTGTTGTGCAAGGGGATGAATTTTCTTTTGTTAAAAGGCTGGATATTGAGTGGTTTTACTGCCCCCCCCCCCGACACCTTGGAATGATCTAAAAAAAAACCAACACCACCATCATCATCATCACGTCTGAACCAGTTTATTGAGTGTGCCATATCAATGGGGTATATTAGCTGCTGCAATTCTGGTGCGGAGGGTGGGTGGCAAGGTGTAACCCAGAATCCACAAAGGAACCAGAAGTTCCTTCTTTCTCCCTAACGGTCAGCTAAAACAGGAGCGAGCCCTATGGGTCCGTCCGATGCATTCTAATTCATTTTAAATGCAAAAGAGCTCTCCATTATATATAGCAGAGGTGTTGTAATTTACTTTCCCCGTTCCTAAGCAACAGCTATTTTCAGTTTGAGTGCGTCTGGATTTCTCTACCTACTTCATGCCTCTATGAGGTAATTCATTAGTGGATTTTTTTCCCCCTCCATATCTCCACCCTTCACCCTTCTGCATGCACTTTCTCTCTGGTCCCTGCTTTCTGTTGAGAGATCAAGACTTCCCAATCGGTGAAGACCATGGAGAAAAAAACCCCACTGCTCTATTCTCTTCTTTGTGACATGTTTACAAAGACAAAACTTTGGGACTCAACTTGAGCCATGCCAACCTAAGGACTGAGAATAACTCCTTTCAGCCATTCGCCGGAAAATCTTCAGAGTAGAAGTTCTCCTAAGCAAAACAGGAACCATGAAACGTAGATCTTTGGTCTTGTTGAAACAGCGATGGGAGTCCGTTCCGAACACCGAACAGGTATGGTGGCTTCATGCTATAATTTCACCTCGGCCGTTGAGAGCTCCCACACAGCGGTGGGTTGCTTTTACTGTCGCTACCGGTACACTGATCGTGGTCTGCCCGTGCACGAGCCTGATGTGCGCTGCGCAGGTGCGTGCCGCGTGCTGTGCACGCATGTGCAATTCATCACCCCTGCGACACCCAGCTGCTTGTTGCAGCACACGCAGGCACCGCACACTGTCCTCAGGTGTGCAGTGTGCCTTTTGGCATAAAAACAGCCTATAGAGCGCAGGCAGGTGGGTGGGCCAAACGAGCCACCGTACCTGTATGCTCTCAGCTCAGTGGTGGGTTCCAAATTCACCCCGGCGTCACCCACATGCACGCGTGCGGGGCGCGGCGCGCGCACATGCATTGTAGCTGGAAAGGACGCTTCCGCAAGCCTCCATGATGCTCCAGCTGCTCGGTGGAGCGTTGTGCAGGTGCTGTATGCGCCGTGCGCGGAAGCGCCGACAGCTTTAAAGAGCTCGGGCGGGCCCCTCCGGAGCACTGTACCAGAACGGTACCCGGTGCTCCGGGCAGGATCTGGTACGCCCGTACCGGGGCGTACTGCTTGCCACCCACCACTGTCTCAGCTGCTCCCGGCCACTACCGGTATGGCCATACTGGGCCGTACCCGCAGCAACCCACCACTGGCTCCCGCAGGATCCGAGTTTGAAGCAAGGATTGCCATAGATAGCTCGCTTGTGCTTACAGTTGAGCGTGCAAGATAATCACTTGCTTTTAAAGCCTGTCAATCTCAGTGGTGGGATTCAAAAAAATTTACTACCAGTTCTGTGAGCGTTACTTGGTGGGCGTGGTAGGGGAAGGATCCTGTAAAATCTCCATTCCCCTCTCCACTCCAGGGGAAGGTTACTGCAAATTCCCTCCCGATCAGCTGAGTCTCGGAAGGCAGAGAATAGATGGGGAGGGGGCCATTCAGACCTGGTATTTACCATCTATTCAAAATTTCTGCTACCGGTTCTCCAGAACTGGTCAGAACTTGCTGAATACCACCTCTGGTCAATCTCCTTTGTTCAGGTTTGAGCTTTAACAATTTTTGAATTGTGCCGCAGAAGGAAGGAATTCATTTCCTACCTACGAAAAATCCAGCAAGAACACTCTTCCACAATGCCAGCAGTAGCGTTCATTGCAAGGTTTTACAAGCGCAGGCGCCGATGAGAATTGCGGACAGCTGAAAAATAGTTACATGGTTTAGATTTTCTAAGTGGTCTTTGGCAAGAAACCCCGGATTGAATTTTGAGCTCGCATAAATTGTACATTCAATGTATAAATAATTGCAGGTTGATCTGAAATGAACGGACAGCTTAGGTTCTGTCTGAGCATCCAGAAGAGTTTGTTGAAAGGCAAAGACCCACTTGTTTCTTTAAAATATTATCATAATCCTCACCATCATAATCGAACCCTTGAACCGGGTTGCTGGTGGCAATAGCAGAACAGACCTCATTACATACTGTAGTAGGTGTTACACCACAGCTGCAAATCCTAAATCTTTGGTTGCCCACTTCCTTCGACAATTGGTGTTAACAGCCATGAAGAATGCTGATATGTTTGCTTTCAGTTCTTGTACAGAAGAGGGTTTAAAATTGTGGCCACGGCTGCGGAAAGCTTTGATCTCTTGACTGAAATATTTTTATATGTGCGCTAGAGACTGTGCCATTCTTCTTAAGGGTAGAGCGAAGTGGGAATGCAAATGTTAAAAGCGTGGAAATATTAAAGAGTGGAAAAAGTGTCTCTGTGTGTGTATGTATGTGTGTGTGTGTGTGTATACATACATACACACACACACATATAAACAAAGAAGGCAGAAAATAATCTCTTGTTAGAAGAGACAAGAAGAAAAATATTTATTGGTGGTACTGGACACACAAGAAATTTGTCTTTGGTGCAGATGCTCTCAGTGTAAATAAGGAGAGAAAAATACATTCATCAAGAATCATAAGGTACAGCACTTAATGATAGTCATAGGGTACAAATAAGCAATCAAGAAACAATCAATATCAATATAAATCGTAAAGATACAAGCGACAAGTTACAGCCACGCAGTCATAGGTGGGAGGAGATGGGTGATAGGAAGGATGAGAAGGGTAATAGTAATAGTAATGCAGCCTTAGTGAATAGTTTGAATTATTTGTCTAGCAGAGTGATGACATTCAGGGAAAAACTGTTGGATGCATCCTTCCTTCCTTCCTTCCTTCCTTCCTTCCTTCCTTCCTTCTTATTTCAAACTCCACATCATTAAATTAATATTGAAT